TAAACAGATAGATATAAATTTAAATAGATACTGAAAAATTTGAACAGTTAGTCAAAAAAAGTCAACAGATAAAAAAAAGTCAATAGATAAATTAAAGGATAAAATTGAAAAAAAAAAAATCTCCGTCAAAATAATAAAAAGGATTTCTCACCAGACTATTTCATAAATATTGGACCTCTTACCAATAAAAAATATCCACTAAACATAACACCTTATACCCTCCTTAGTTGGAATTTTTAACAATTTTGTCTATTATAAATACTCAAAACCAAAAATTAATTTTTTTGTTTATCTTTCTCTTTTTTTTTTAACGATTTTTTTTTTCTTTGTATTTTGGTCAATTTTTTAAATTTTTGTTAGATGTATTTTAGGAGGTCACTATTTTAATCAAAAAGTCAAAAAATAAAAATTCATTACAAAAAAATTAATTACTCTCTTTACTTTTGTGTACGTCTTTTCATAAAAAAATTAAAAAATTACTAAAAAATCAATTTTCAAAATGACTTTTAATTTAAATGCACCTAAAATTAAAATATTGAGGAAGAAATATATAAAAAAAAATTAGAAAAATTAGAATTTGACTTTGATAACAAAATAAGTCATGAGTTTTTAATTTTATTAATTTTATTTATTTTTAATTTAAACCAAAAGCCTATTTAAGTAAAAATCGACAAAAAAAGGTAAAGATATTCTAACTATTAAACTCAATGTAAGTGTACATTAAATGTTTAAAATATTATTTTTTATTGATTTTAATAATTAAAATACCATTTTTCTATTGGTTTTATTTATCGAAAATAGATAGATAATTTAGATTGAAAATGAATTAAAAAATTAAGGTTTAAATTGATAAAATTAAAAATTAAAAGTTTATTTTGTTATAAGGGTCAACTAAGCTTCTTTTTTTTATTTTTTTATAATTATCCCAAAAAAATTAATAAAGACAAAATAATAATAATAATAATAAACAACATTTTTGTTTGTATTTTTAAAATTTTTAAGGGCAAATTACATTTGACCCTCTCAACTATCACCGTTTTGTACTGTATCCACTAAAATTAGAAATTGATACAATGTACCTTGTTTATCTTCTTAAAATTTCAATCTAACCCTTATGTCTCCATTTTATTAACAAAGTAGACGAAAAAGGTGCATGTAATGTACATATGTCATATTTATGATAGATTTTTAAAAGATGTTTTCGTCATAAATATAATATGTGTACTTTACATGCACATTTTCCATTTTTGTTAACAAAATAAAGATATAAGGATTATATTGAAAATTTTTAAAAGATGAAAGGGGTACATCATATCAATTTTTAGTTTGAGGGGACAAAGTGAAAAACGGTGATGGTCAAAGAGGTAAAATGTAGTTTGCCTAATTTTTAATGAACTTTCCATATTTTTCTCACAAAATAAGTAAATTAAAATCTAAACTAAAAACAATCTAAAAAACAAATCAAAACATCGACCTATTACCCTATTTTTTTTAGGGTTTGGGAAGATTGTTTTAGCCTATAAGGCCAGTCTAAACCAATATTTTTAGCCCGAAATATTAATGGGTTGGGCTTGATATTTGTATTTGGACAAATTACCAACAAGTTCTCTTTAAAAGAGGTGTGGCCTATTTAGTTCCACAACTTTTTATTTACACCAAAAAGTATTGTAGCATTTTTTTTTCTTCTTTTCTGCCTTTGTTATTTTATATCTCTTTCTCTTCTTGATTTCCAGCAATTGCCGACCGGCGATCATGTCTTGCTTCGTCTCTTTCTCTTTCTGATATATAGTTACCGGCAACCGACGACCATATTGATTGGGGTTCACCAGTAACCATCAATTCCTTGCTTCACCCTTACCAATGGCAAATGAGATGAGTTTTCAATGAAGAAAATGAGTAAATCTACTCAGATCTGATGTAGAGCTACTCAAATCTATATCAGATCCGACTAGATCTAAAACAAAAATAATTATCGAAGTACAATTCTCTTTCTCTCTCTCTCTATATATATATATATATATCTGTCTCTCTCCTTCAATCTTTCAATTTTTTCTACTTTTTCTCTACTATACACTTCTCTTTTCCTATTTTAATGAAGAAAATTTTCAAGTTCTGAACAAGTTGTTTTCGAGTTTTAGTTGCAGGCAATAAAAACTATAAAATTTTGCAGTTTCAATTTTTTTATGCTAAAATCAATCATGGTTTAAAACTTCAAAATTTTTCACTTTCATAATATTCTTTAGAACTGTAAAATTTTACAGTTTCATAACATGTTTTTTAGTTTAATTAATAAGGATAAATGCTTAATAGATTTTTGCTTTGAAACGGTAACATGTGTTATAGTTTCAAAACTTACTTTTTAATTTGATCAATATTAGAGATTATTTGCTTAAACCCTACAAAAATTGAAAAATAACAAATATTTTTTTTCCCCATTGTTGCTGTTTGTTGTTGTTACTTTTTTTTTTCTTCTTCTTCTTTCAGTTTATCAATATTTAGCACATTTTGCTATATTTTTTCGCTCTAATTTCTTCCTTTTTTCTTTTTTTTCCTGGCAATATTTTGGGCATTCCGGTGAGTCGCGGATGATGTTTTTAACGTCCAACGGATGTTCTGAACATTATGGCGACTTCTAGTGACGTTCGGAGCACTCCAACGATACTCCGACAAACTTCTAGTGACTTCCCGGTGACGTTGAACATTTCGGCGAGTCTTCAATGACCGTCTGACGGTGGTGGGATGTAGCAACATTTGTAAACCTTTTTTTATTTTATTTTTAAAAAAAAGATTTTTTGGTAACAATTAAAAATATGTAGGACTAATTGATGCAAGTGCTTTGTTTTGGGATTAGATGGGTTTTGAATTTTGTGCACTAGTAAGTTCTCCTTCTGCTTTATACTTTTACCGTTATTAAATTAAATAATTAATTAATTATTTATAATATATTAAAATATATGTTTTTTGTTAAGATTTAGACTTTGTCTTTATTGATTTTATTGAAACTCACATTTGTGGTGATGAGTGATTGAATTTATTTGAGAATTTTTTCAATATATACATAAAATCTTTCAATTTATAATGATGTCAATATGTTTATTTAAAAAATATAATATGTGATTGAATTTAATTATGAAATGTTTTAGGTAGCGTTTGGTAGAACTTTCCAAACATGATTTGAGAATAGGAGTTGTATTTTGAGTTTGTGAGTTTTGAAATTATGAATTGAGTGTGAAAAATTTGTTTGGTGTATGAATTTTGAAAAGAGTTTTAAATTGAGTGAGAAATTTTTAATATGACATTTGATATTTGATACAAAAACTTACAACTCATAACCCAACACACAACTCAAAATTTTATAAAAACTCATAAAATTTTATGCTAAAATCAATCATGGTTTAAAACTTCAAAATTTTTCACTTTCATAATATTCTTTAGAACTGTAAAATTTTACAGTTTCATAACATGTTTTTTAGTTTAATTAATAAGGATAAATGCTTAATAGATTTTTGCTTTGAAACGGTAACATGTGTTATAGTTTCAAAACTTACTTTTCAATTTGATCAATATTAGAAATTATTCGCTGAAACCCTACAAAAATTGAAAAAAAAATTTCCCCCATTATTGCTGTTTGTTGTTGTTACGCTTTTTTTTTCTTCTTCTTCTTTCAGTTTATCAATATTTAACACATTTTGCTATATTTTTTCGTTCTAATTTCTTCATTTCTTCTTTTTTTTCCTGGCAATATTTTGGACATTCCGGTGAGTCGCGGATGATGTTTTTAACGTCCAACGGATGTTCTGAACATTATGGCGACTTCTAGTGACGTTCAGAACACTCCGACGATACTCCAACAAACTTCTAGTGACTTCCCGGTGATGTTGAACATTTCGGCGAGTCTTCAATATCCGTCTGACGATGGTGGGATGTAGCAACATTTGTAAACTTTTTTTTTTATTTAAAAAAAAAAGATTTTTTTGGTAACAATTACAAATATGTAGGACTAATTGGTGCAAGTCCTTTGTTTTGGGATTAGATGAGTTTTGAATTTTGTATACTAGTAAGTTCTCCTTTATACTTTTACTGTTATTAAATTAAATAATTAATTAATTATTTATAATATATTAAAATATATGTTTTTTTGTTAAGATTTAGACTTTATCTTTATTGATTTTATTGAAACTCACATTTATGGTGATTAGTGATTGAATTTATTTGAGAATTTTTTCAATATATACATAAAATCTTTCAATTTATAATGATGTCAATATGTTTATTTAAAAAATATAATATGTGATTGAATTTAATTATGAAATGTTTTAGGTAGCGTTTGGTAGAACTTTCCAAACATGATTTGAGAATAGGAGTTGTATTTTGAGTTTGTGAGTTTTGAAATTATGAATTGAGTGTGAAAAATTTGTTTGGTGTATGAATTTTGAAAAGAGTTTTAAATTGAGTGAGAAATTTTTAATATGACATTTGATATTTGATACAAAAACTTACAACTCATAACCCAACACACAACTCAAAATTTTATTAAAACTCATAAAAAAATTTTAAAAATTCAAAAAATATTTTTTGTTGAATATATAAAAATTAATATGTGTCAATTGAAGAAAAAAAAAATGCACTGTTCAGGTCAACCGGTGGGACGATTGGTTAGTCGAAATTTCCCGCCTTCGACTGAGTTTTTAAAAGTGAACGTGGAATTATTTTTGAAAATTGCAAACAAACATCATATGCAAACTAAAGGGTGGAACTAAAGTTCCAAAACCCTTCCAAACACAGTCTTAATTTTTTTTAAAACATATAACCCGATGGATAAATTTGAAATTTATAATTATTTTTAAAATCGGATTTGGACAAATATAAAAACTTGATATTAGGATTAAGTCGAATTTAAATAAAGGTAATATTAAAAATCTTAAAAATTTTATAAAATTTTTAACTAAATATAACATATGAGTGTTAAACCATATAATATGAGGCCCATATATGAATCCGCACCCGTACAAGACTTTTGATAAAACTTTGGTGTCAGCAGATCGGTCCATCCCATGATAAAGCCAATGGCAAGCAAACTTGGGAGGTTAGCATGCGGAAGAGCAAGCCATGTCAAGGCAAGCTCTGCATCTCTTCGACACTCCTAGCATTCTCTCTCTTCTCACTTCATCTTCTTCTCTCTCTCAAGCAAGACAGTCTCATGCTCACATTCTCAAAACTGGCCTTTCCATCGATACCCATTTCAACACCAAGCTTCTCTCTCTCTACACCCACCACCTCTGCTTCGCCGATGCAGAGCTCGTCCTCGATTCAATCCCTCAACCCGATCTCTTCTCTTTCTCCACCCTCATATACGCTTCTTCAAAGCTCAATCGATTCACTCATGTTCTTAGTCTGTTTTCGAAAATGCTCTCTCGAGGCCTATTGCCTGATTCCCATGTCCTCCCCAGTGCATTCAAGGCCTGCACTGGATTATCTGATCTCAAATCGGGAAAACAGGTCCATGGCATTGGATTTGTATCTGGGTTTGTCTCAGATTCGTATGTTCAATCCTCTTTGGTTCATATGTATGTTAAATGCAATCAATTAAGGGATGCCCACAAGGTGGTTGATGAAATTTCTGAACCAGATGTGTTTTCTTGGAGTGCTTTGGTTTCGGGTTATGCTAAACAAGGATGTGTAAGCAAGGCGAAGGGGGTGTTTGATGAGATGGGAAGTTTAGGAATTGCTCCTAATTTGGTAACTTGGAATGGGTTGATTGCTGGATTCAATCAGAGTGGATGTTATTTGGAGTCAATATACATGTTTAAGAATATGCATTTACGAGGTTTTAAGTCCGATGGGACTAGTATATCTAGTGTTCTTCCCTCAGTAGGGGATTTAGAGGATCTAAATGTGGGTATTCAAATTCATGGTTATGCGGTAAAGCAGGGAATTGAATTGGACAAATGCGTTGTTAGTGCTCTTATAGATATGTATGGGAAGTGTGCATGCAGTTCAGCGATGTCACAAGTGTTTGATGAAATGGATCAATTAGACTTAGGTGCTTGCAATGCACTTGTTGCTGGGCTTTCAAGAAATGGGCTTGCTGATGAGGCATTGATGGTGTTTAAGCAATTCAAGAGCAAAGAGATGGACTTGAATGTCGTGTCATGGACGTCAGTGATCGCTTGTTGCTCTCAAAACGGTAAAGACATGGAGGCTTTAGACCTGTTCAGAGAGATGCAGATTGCTGGGGTGAGGCCAAATTCTGTGACAATCCCTTGCTTGTTACCAGCTTGTGGAAATATTGCAGCACTAATGCATGGGAAAGCAGCTCATGGCTTCTCCCTTAGAAGGGGGATTTCTTTTGATGTGTATGTGGGCAGTGCACTGATTGATATGTATGCCAAATGTGGGAGGATTGAAGCATCTCAACTCTTTTTTGATGGGATGCCCACTCGAAATTTGGTTTGTTGGAACGCGTTGATGGCTGGGTATGCAATGCATGGAAAAGCCAAGGAAGTGATGGAGATCTTTCATTTGATGCTGAGGAGTGGGCAAAAGCCCGACTTCATTAGCTTTACCTGTATATTATCTGCATGTAGCCAAAGTGGTCTAACAGAAGAGGGACAGTACTACTTCAACAGCATGTCTGGAGAGCATGGAATTGAAGCACGAGTGGAGCATTATGCTTGCATGGTGACCCTTCTTGGTCGTGCAGGAAAGCTAGAAGAGGCTTATTCTATCATCAAGAAAATGCCTTATAAGCCAGATGCTTGTGTTTGGGGAGCTTTACTGAGTTCTTGTAGAGTTCACAAAAACATGAGCTTGGGAGAGATTGCTGCCGATAAGTTATTTAAGTTAGAACCTAAAAATCCTGGGAATTATATTCTTCTGTCCAACATATATGCTTCTAAGGGAAAATGGGATGAGGTAGATAAAGTGAGGGATATGATGAAGAGCATGGGTTTGAGAAAGAACCCCGGTTGCAGTTGGATTGAGGTTAAAAACAAGGTGCACGTGCTTTTGGCAGGAGACAAATCGCATCCTCAAATGACCCAAATCATTGAAAAGTTGGATAAATTTAGCATGGAAATGAAGAAATCAGGTAGCTTCCCAATCACCGACTTTGTACTGCAAGATGTGGAAGAACAAGACAAGGAGCAAATTTTGTGTGGGCATAGTGAGAAGTTGGCTGTAGTTTTTGGGCTTCTGAACACTCGGCCAGGTTCTCCTCTTCGAGTTATAAAGAACCTTAGAATTTGTGGGGATTGCCATGCTGTTATAAAGTTCATATCCAACTTTGAAAGGAGAGAAATTTTCGTGAGAGATACTAATCGCTTTCATCACTTCAAAGATGGGGTATGCTCCTGTGGGAATTATTGGTGATTGTATTTAATGGTTGCATGCTATCAGTACTCGGAGAAAAACTGGAAACTGGATGTGTAATATGTCTGCAGCAGACAGAATTGATTGAGCCACCCAGTGTAATGGATAGAGCCAAGGCAGGTTGCAGGGAGGGTGTACTGGAATGGTTGTTATAAAGCTCAAACTCACTTCACACACTTGACACTGCAAGCTTTTATCATCACATGGAGGAGGAAGGATGGATATCAAACTGAAATTCATTTGTGGTGAACCTGAAGGTGAGGGAACTCAAGTCAGCCCTTGGAAGAAACCAAAGGAATGAACTCATCCAAAAAGCCAGATATTTGCTATTGCACTTTTTGAGGGTTTTTCGATCTAATTCAAATTACAGGAGCAAAGGAAAATATTGGTCCACAATTTGCCAATATTGACTTGTGCTTCAACAATGGAAACTAAGTTAAAATTTGGAGCTATTGTTTTCATAATTTAGTTCTACTTTTATATCCTTTATACCACTATATTTTGGTCCAAAAGTGTTTTTTTTCTTGTTTGCACATTGCAGCTCTTTTTGCTTTCATTGAGATTTATTGAAGAATCAGTGGAAGTGAATTTATTTAGTAGTTTCTTTTTCACTACAGGTTTGAAGAGAGAATATTTTGTACTCCTTTCTTGTATATGGACGGCCTTCATATGCTGGGTTCTTGGAGCTGCAAAACAAGGCTTTCTAATTCTGAATTCAAAATTCTTTGGTTGAACTTTTACTTGGAGGAGGGTAAGTCTGAGAGGGGAGTGGAAGATACGAGGTTGGGATTATTTCTTCCTCTTGTTTGCATGTAATTGCAAAAGTTGCTTCAACCTAATTGGTTTAAGTTGTTGCCAATGCAGCCTTCCATATCCTTTGCATTACTATTCTAATATTTGATGCCAAATAGAATATGGTCTTGCAACAAGTTCAGAACCCAGAACTTTTCTCACTATTCCAAAAATTCTGGTTGATTTGTGATGATGATGAAATTTCAACGTTATGTGGTGGAAATTTTGCGGAGGAACTGATGTCAGTAAACTCTGTACCATCAGTGCCAAGGTGTGTCAAAATCATGATCAATGGTGTCCAGATGAAATGGAGGATAAGGATCAACCATGTATAGCAGAATTGAAGGGTTGGTGGCAGAGACTTTGGATGGTGTTTAATTGTACAAATCATTTTTGTTCGTCACTTTTGTTAAATGGCATGGACAGATCATTTAAGTTAAAGGAGTTGCTGAAGAGAAACTTGCTGGTTTGCAGTTATCAAGTAGTGTTGGTTTTGAGAATGGAAGATTAGATATCAAAACTGATTCAGCAGTGGCAGTGTCTCTCATCACCGAGCCCCTCTAGCCAGAATCATCCAGGATTGCTAAAATCTATCTCCTTGCCACTGTGGCAGTGACAAATAGGGTTCACTCTTATTAGACAAAGTAATGCATATGCTGATCTTTTGGCAAATGGAGGACACAAAATAGAAGACACAGTTAGTGTGTTGGAAGAGCCGCCTCTTGGGGTAAGTCAATGTAATAGTTAGTAAATGGTAAGTTGGCTTTGTACTAATATCAGTTCTCTTCCTTAAGCTAATAAGTTAATGCTGCAATGGTGGAAGTAAAAACCCTAGGTGAGTGGGAAACCATGTTTTGATCATCTGACCTCTGGGTTTATGGCCACCACCACACTTGTCCTGCAATCTATTTTGTTTTTTGTCGTCTGTAATTCAATTTGTTGGCTTATTGTCAGCAGTATTTGTTTTAATTTTTTCGGCTTGTTATCATGACAAAAGGAAATGTATACCAGTGAAGAGGGTTGAGAAATATATTTTTCTTATTCTTTTTGCTGCACTAAAGGTAAGCTTAGCAACAATAGGTCAAAGGAAAATGTTTGGTAGCTCAAAATTTTGTGACTCCAATGGCTCAAATCTGTCAAAACGACGTCGTTTTACACTCCAAATCTGTCAAAACGATGTCGTTTTAAGTGATTTGAGTCATTTGAGTCACAAAATTTTGAACTACCTAGCATTGTTGATAGTTCAAATTGTATGGCCCAGTGGTTGGACATTTCAATCCGACTCATCATATTATGGTCTCTCAACCACCTCGACTTTAGGTCTGTTTAGTAAATTTATTGACGACTTCAAAAAAATATTAAAAAAATCAAAAACCTTGTTTCAAATTTTTTTTCTTCTTTTTCTTGAGCTTATTTTTATTCTTTTTGAGATAAAAAAAACAAGTAAGCTGAAAATTTGTAATTTTTTACCAAGCATCCAAACTTTTTAAAATACAACTACTTGTGTGTTCTCCATGGTAACCTTTCCGTTTCTTGTTTCCTGTTTTTCATTTTCATATTTTTTGAAAATTAGAAAAGAAAACCAGTTAGTTTGACATATAGTTTACGTTTTTTTTTTTTTAAAAAAAAAAAAAAATCAAAATTTTTGAAAATGAAATAAAGGGAGTACTTCTACTTGTTAAAACAAGTTTTAACTCTCTTTCCAACCGTCAGCAGCCACCACCAACCACCGAAGGCCAGCCACCAGTGAGCTTAGACGAACTTCGGCAATCGAACAATCACGGTATGACCACATTCCAGCGACCCTTTGGCCATCTCGTGACCTTATGCGACACTCCAGCGACCCTTTGGCCATCTCGTGACCTTATGCGACACTCCATCCGCCCTCCACCACTTGCAATGACCTCCGGTTACCCACCAAATATGTTTCTTCATTTTTGTTTTTATTTATTTTCAAAAATTTTAGGGTAAATTACAAATATGTTCCATGAAATTTGTTTAAAATTGTGGTTCTGAAAATTTCATTTTACCTTTTCAAGTTTATAATCATATAACATAACTCATTTTATTGATAAATCATTAAACTAATTAACAATTTTTATTGATGTCAGAAATATATTTTAATTAACAATTCAATAGTTTTATTACTGTATAGGAGAGTAATTAAAAATTTTATTTTTTATTAATTCTGTTATATAAAAATTTTTGACAAAACTACATGGGGAAATTTATATTTGAAGCAAATCTCAAGTAGCATATTTGTAATTTATCCAAAAATTTATGTACAACAAATAAGATTTATGGTTTTGTTTTTTTTTAAAACAAAAAATTATTTCTTATTTTTTGTAAACAGTAAAAAAATTATCAAATTATACCTCAATTTTAAGCTAAATAAATTTTGTTATGAACCGAGCATCTTATGTTTGTAGGTGTATCTCAAAAATTTTAAAATAAAATAAAATAAATAAAGGTTGGTCGTAGAGCCTTTGCAATATTAAATTTTGAAGATAGCTTAATAATGCCCTTTGGCATTGTAAATTTATAGATAGTTCAATAGATAAGCTTCCAATATTAAATTTTGAAGATAGTTCAATAATGCCTTTTGGCATTGTAAATTTACAGATAGTTCAATAGATAAGCACTACCCAACTCAACCATAGAGTCCACCACTCACCGCAATATTAGTCTATGGATGGAGAGGGTCCATTCATTTGTTTAATTGGATCAACAAAGGCACGTCTTATATTCTTTCACATTATACATTTTTTAAGAAAGAAAATTAAGTTTAGTTTGAGTAGCTCCACTATCATACACTTTGCAACACTCTTAATGAGTACATAAATATCTAGAAAGTTGTCAAACACAAATTATTGGAGTTAATTCAATGACTACAACTTATGTACCTCAGTTATACGTCAGACATTCGATTCTCCCACTATTCAATATATTAAGAAAAAAAAAAGTTATAAATTAATTTGAATTGGTAAAAGGGCATGTAGAGTATATATGAACTAAGTTTAATTAACTTAGAGAAACGATGTGTGATGAATTTTTAATATTCTTGATACATGTAGCTTGATCGTATAAAGAGGTGACAGAGAGATAATGAATGTAATTATATTTGTTCAGTCATTTGTTGTCGTATATTTACGAATTCATTCTTATCAAAACATCATTTTTGTTTCTAAATTTATGATGGGTCTGTTCGGTTATATATTGTCAAACAATTTGGATTACTCCAGTGTCCAGTTACTGAACAAATTAGATTTGTTCAACCATTCGTTGCCGCACTTTTACAGATTCATTTTCCTTAAAACATCAAGTATCTATAAAAACATAAAGTGTACAAACATCCACAAAAATATTCATAAAATTTGTCAATACAAACATCTATAAAATAACACATAGTTTTGGTAGTTACTACATTAGGACTAACAAACCTACGAAATTGATTAACATAGATAGTATATGCTTTCTCTCATTCATTAGCACAGGAGTGATGAAAACGAATCCACTTACTCACTTTTGGAGGTACTAGATAATCAGGAAACAGATAAATCTAACAAACAATTAACAATGCACTACTAGTCGTACTACAATGAATAGAAACATAATCTTTCAAATCAAAAATAACAAAAATGTCAAAACAATGAAATTGAAAATGTTTAACAATGAGTTATTGGACATGTACTTTTTGTTTGGCAGTATACTACTGAAAAAGTCTCTATTAATTTTTCTCTCTCTAGTATGGGAGTTTTTCTGCCCTAAGGTCTGATTTATGGGTTTATCCCAAGACTGAAGCTTCGGTGACATCCTCTCTGAGATTACTTAAGCCTTAGCTTTCTTTCTTCTTCTCTATTTCTCTTTCGTCCTCTCTCTTACTTCCTTCATTTGGCTGCCAATCCCCTGGTCTCCTACTTTTTGCGGACTGAGTGGATGGCTCACTCTTCAGATACTACCTTCAATCTGGATGACATTTCTTTGGAGGATGGGTGTGAAGTAGATGATGCTGTGTCTAAGCGTTGTCTGATTGGAAGGATTTTGGCCCCAAAGCAGCTAAACAAACAGGTTGTTTCATCAATTTTACATGGGGCTTGGAAAGCTAGAGCCTCTTTCTCTATTTCTCCTTGGAATGATAATCTGTATTTGTTTAAGTTTGACGAAGAGGATGATCAACGTTGGGTATTGCAAGAAGCTCCATGGTCTGTTATGGGAAATTTGTCGATCCTTCAACCTCTAGTCACAGGGCTCCCAGTTGCAGAGATGGATTTCTCTAGGAGTCCCTTCTCGGTACAAGTCAATGGTCTTCCTGTGGAGAATCTCACAAAGGCAAACGGTGAACTTATTGGTTCGAAGATTGGGAAGCTTATCAGGATTGAAGCCCACTGTGAAGGTCTACTTCTCTCTCGAAATTTTCTGTGAATCAGAGTTGAGGTGGATGTCTCCAAGCCACTACCTAGAGGATTTACTCTTACTTGGGGAGGCAACTCTCAGAAGGACGGCTCGAATTTGTGGATATCTTTTAAATATGAAAGGCTATCAGATTTTTGCTTTGATTGTGGAAGGATTGGACATGAGAGGACTACCTGCAAATTTGTGAGTTAGGAAGCTGGGAGAAACTCTGGCTATGGACCATATTTGCGGACAAGAATTGCTCGGAGTACGGGGCTTCCGGTGGAGCATTATAGCAAACAGGTGGATGTTTTGGAGGCAAGAGTTTAACCGTTGATTCACCCGACAGGGCCTTTTTGCACCCCAGAATCTCCCATGGTAACGCGTGAAGGGGTGCATGAAGGAGAGGTGCAGGGCCATGCAACGACTCCTGCTACTGTGGTACATCCACAATCAGATGAACATGCAACTGAGCACGTAGTGGAAAAGAAGGCATTATTTGTGCACCAGGAGACGCTGACACGTGGTATGGATAAACTTTCAAAGACACCAAGGAGTAATGTATTAGGTGAGAGTAACCCCTATTCCCGTCCCTATTTGGAAAAGGAAAACCAGATGGCGCAAAAAGATGTGGTAGCTGGACCATTGTCATATAGGCCCATAACTCCCTTTGGGCCCCAATATTTTGTCACTGAGCCAGTTGATTGTTCTGGAATTTTGATGTTGGGCCCAGTTGTTCATTCTCCAAATTCTCTTGCTAGCCCAATCGGGATTGAAGAGGTTAGCCCAAGCTCTAATCTACCTAGGTGTGATCTTAAAACCATTGTCATCGATGAGTGCATGTCCACTGTCTTTACCTGTCTATCTTTGAAACGGAAAGCCCATGATGGTGGTGAAGAAACAGAGCATCGGGTAAAGTCCATTAAGCGGGATGAGTTGACTCTTGTTCCCATTAAAGCTATTGATTACCCTTTCTTTTGCCCTATTCAAACCCATTTTAATGACTCTAAAGCAACTTCGAAGTATCAGTACCAGAAAGCAAAAGGAAAAGGAAGAGTTGAACGGAGTTTGGAGCTGGTTGAGGTTGAGGTAATCCCTGATAACTCATTTTATGTTCAGGCTTCTTTGCCTCCTTCTGGGGACTATCCCTCCCTAACATAGGCTGATAATGGTGGTTCAAAAATTCTTAATTCTGGTCAATCTACGACTGCGGAATATTCAGAGTTGGAGGTGTTGGTGGCTGGCTCGAAATAGCTACATCATCCATGCTGATCCTCAGCTGGAACTGTCAAGGGCTAGGTCGTCTTAACCTATCGACCCACGGTGGTTTTTCTCATAGAAACAAAGAATAACGAGGCACGGCTGGAACGGATTAGAAGAGGTTTGCATTTTCTCAACAAATGTTATGTCAATCCGGAGGGTCTTTCGGGTGGCTTAGCACTGTGGTGGTCTGATTCGGTGCATTTGGATATCAGATTTACATCCAGAAATTTAATTAAAGGTTCTTTTTTAAATTCTTTTTCCCACTGTAGTTGGTCAGTTCTTTTTGTTTATGTCCTTCCTCAAAGAGGGCTTCGAAGGTGTTTTTGGAGTATGTTTGAAAGGATGATTCATGATAACCAGTATCCTCTGCTCTGTATTGGGGATTTCAATGAGATCGGCT